GACCTGGGAGTCTATGGGGTCGGGGAAAGTCCTAGCTCCCCCTCGTCGGGGCCCCTGCCGTGGCCCGGATCCTCTATTCGATTTTTTGCTATAACTGTGTTGACAGAGCTTTCTGTCCAACCCAGTCCCTCAGCCGTTCAGTTCCAAAGAAACACACAGAGGTCTAAATTAATTATAAACTGGTTGGCCTATTAGCTCAGGCTTCTTATTAACCAATTCTTACATCTTAAATTGGCCCATTATTCTTGTCTATGTTATCCTTGTGGCTTGGTACCTTATATCAGTGAGGTGGTCTCATCTTGTTTGCTCTGTGTCTGGCTTTCTCTGTGATGACTGTAGACTGAGCTTTCCTCTTCCCAGAATTCTCCTGTTCTTGTTGCCCCACCTCTACTTCCTGCCTGGCTACTGGCCAATCAGTGTCTTATTAAAAATAATACAAGTGACAGGATAAAAGACCATTGTCCCACAGCATAACTGGATTAAAAAAATTGTGTCACCTGGGCCTGAAAGCATCTCTCTGCTGAATTCTTGGAACACTTTTGGAAGGAAACTTCAAATAAAATCCCTCCTTCAGGATGCTCACAGTCCCTGTAACATTATCTCTTGGGAGGTTGAGTCAGGAAGATCTAAAGTTGGAGGCTATCTAGCAAGTCCCTGTTTCAAAAGAGCAAAGAAACAGACAGACAGACAAAGATGCATCTCATAGTAGATGCAGGAAAACATAAAAGAGAACCTTTGGGATAGTGTAATAGTTGTGGTTTTGACCAGTGTGACACAAGCTGTAGTCACTAGACAAGTGGGACTTTCAACTGGGAAATGCATTCACATGATTAGTCTACAGGCAAGACTGTTTGGCATTTCTTGATTCATGGTTAATGCGGGAAGGCCTAGACTGCTGTGAGTGGTGCCACTCCTCATTAGGTCATTCCAAATTGTATAAGAAAGCAGGCTGAGCAAAGCATGGGGAACTATTCAGTATCTGGTGAACTTCCATCATTTCTGCTTCAGTTTCTGTCTCCAGGTTCCTGCCTTGACTTCCCTCAATGGAGTGTGGCCTAGGATTGTGCAAGATATGTAATCCAAAGAAACCCTTTACCCCATTTAGTTAGGTCAAAGAGCTGTAGTCTCCACAGAAGACTTCTTCAGATGTTTCTTTTTTATTCTATTTTATTTTTTAAAACAATCTTTTCTTATTTGACATATCAGTCCCAGTTCCCCTTCCCTCCCTTCCTCCTGCTCCTCCCACATTATCCCCACACCCACTTATACTTTTCAGAGAAGTAAGTCCTCTGACATAACTGGATGTAGACATGTAGAAGAATGCAAGTAGATACATGTCTACCCCCATGCATAAAACTCAAGGACAAATGGATCAAAGACCACAACGTAAATCTAGTTACAATGAACCTCATAGAAAGGAAAGTGGGAAGTAGCCTTGAACACATTGGCACAGGAGACCACTTCCTAAATATAGCACCAGTAGCACATACACTGAGAACAACAATTAATAAATGGAACCTTCTGAGACTGAGAAGCTTCTGTGAAGCATGGGACACAGACAACAGTACAAAATGGCATCCTACTGAATGGGAAAAGATCTTCATGATTCACACATCTGACAGAGAGATGATTTCTAAAATATATGAAGAACTGAAGAAACTGGATATGAAAATTTCAAATAATCCAATTAAAAATGGGGTAGAGATCTAAACAGAGAATTCTCAACAGAGAAAGCTGAAATGGCTGAAAGACATTTAAAGATTGCTCAACATCTTTAGTTATTGTAGAAATGCAAATCAAAATGACTCAGAGATACCATCTTACACTGGTCAGAATGGCTAAGATCAGATGTTTCCTTGAGAACTCATGAGGTAAAGAAGATGTTTCATCTCAGCTTAACATTTCCTGACTTCCACATACACACTGGAATCTGTGGGAAATTCCTTTGAAATCTGGGAAATGGGACTGGGCAATTTTTGTCTGAAGATCAAGTGATCAAATTCCAAGTATGCCACCTCCTGCACTTCTTGTCTTTCAGGGTCCTAGAAAGAAGTAAATATTAAGTGAGTTATGTACATCATCTTGCAGATAATGAAGTAATATTAGACTGTAGGAAGAGGCAGTCTCAGGGGGACTTACCTGTCTGTTCAGTGTTGTTCTCGATTCACAGTCTTGGTCCATGGTAGCTGTAATTTTAGAGGACAGAAGTAAACAAACATACATAATAAAGTACTTCTGCACTCTCATTTCAAATCCAAAGTACTAGTGAGAGATAGGGTAAAACACAAGGATGCTCACCTGCCACAAATTAGATTCAGAAGTTTTGCTACTCTATGTTTATAGTTCCATTCCACAATGCTGTACCCTAGTAATTCTTTCTTCAGTATATTCTCTCTCTCCCTTCCTTCCTGCCTCCCTCATTCAATTCCTCTTTCCCTTCCTCCCCAATCTCTCCTTCTCTCCCTTTCTCCTTCCATCTCTCCCTCCCTCTGTCTCTTGTAAAACCTTCTCCTAGATATTAGTGTATGCTTTGGAGGTGAAGATGCAAAAGTGCATTGAGGAATTTGTCAGTGTCTGAGAACTGAGTTGAAGAGCAAGACTTTCTTTCCTGTCTAGAAAGCCCTACCTCAGTTTCCCTATATTGTTCAAAGTATCCTTTTGTAAATGAGGAAAATACCTGTATTTCTCCAGTCTTGGTTTCTCACAATATTCAGATGACTTTCACGGACTTGTTCCCGTGACTTACTCTTTTTGGTTGAGCAACAAGAATAAAGGAGGAAGATAAGGAAAACAGATATCATGGTAACTGACAGCCCGATCAGAATATTCATGATCCTGTGGTTATCTAGAGAGAGATGTAAACCCAACACAAGGTAAAAATTTTGGATCCCCATTTTTATAGATTGCATAGTATTCATAGACTGGAGGTTAATTAATATAATAGTTCTTTAGGAAAAGCATCTTGATGGAGAACCTACTAATATTCTGCTCAATGGAAATAGTATTAAACTGACTCCTAAAGACTTACTGTTATACATAATACATTTCTCAACTCTCAGGAGAAGATTCTATATTTGTAATAGATAGTGATTAACACAGATACCCACAAATAGGCAAGCTGTGGAGAATAAGAGATCATATAATTCTTCATCCTAAATGAGATGTTTACATCTCATATCCTTCTCCAAAAGTTCAGCATCATTGTGAAAGAGATGGAAGAAGAGATTGCAAAAAGAAACTTTGGATAACTATAAGGATACTGTCTTTTGTACACTGAGGGCAGCTTAATATGGGAACTTCACAAAAGGACAAGATAACATGTCCAAGAGCAGTGCAAGGTCACGGTAGACAAAATCCTAGCGTGGAGAATGGAGATGAACATGAAATCCCACCCCTAGTCAAGGGGCTAGGGGCAATTTATAACTGTTGGCAGAAGGAGTGTCAGTAATAGTAGTGTTGTTGCTAGTAAGTTGACCATGCACCAGCAGAAGTCAACACATCCAATGATATAAGGACATTCCGCCAGTGACAGAAAACTTCAGGACACTGGGTAAAGGTCATGTGCTCATTATCTTAATCTGAGATTGATACCAGTGCTCACTTAATCTGGCTAACAACTTCTACATCTTCAACACCCTTGAACCAAACTACTAATTCTCCCAAAGGGCAAAAGTAAAGTCTAGTGTAGTCTATCACAGGTAATATTTTTATAAAATTGTTCTTTCTTCTTGCTTGCTTCCTTATTCAGGCTCTATGATCTTTTCTCCATGAAAAACTGAGCTAGAAAAAGCACTTCATTGTTCCCGGAAGGGGGCTAAATCTGCTCTCCCTTTTATTTATAGGAGATCTCGGGTACAGTTCCAATGTTGCTCCTAAAACCTTCTGTAGTTTCAGAGTTTAAGAATAAGAGAGAGGAAATGACGATGTTAAAACTACTAAGATGTGAGGAAGTTGAATATGAACACAAGAGCATCTGGTCCCTAAGTTTCCGCAATAGAGAAGGGGAAAAATTACTCACTAGTTTTGGAGTCTGGTTCAGTGGATGAAGTGAAATTTCTTGATGAGTTTACTAGGAAAGGGGAGAGGAGAGGGTGAAAGTTCATCAAAAGACTATGTGCCTTCCCCATATACAAAGTCCTTTAAATTAGGAGAGTAAGCAGTACCCACTCCACCTCTTAGTGCTGAGACTTTAGAATCATAGGATGCCATTATGTGATTTGTTTTGAGGTGTTGATTTCAGGTTGTGATGAGTCAATAGGAATACCGTGGAGAGAGCTAAGTGAGGGAGAGATCAGGAGGCTGCTCCATTTGTGATCGGTCCAAACTGATTGCAATCTTATCCTTAATGAGTCTCTCCTGACCTCTTTCTTATTCTCTGTGGATACATACACATTCCAGTGTAGCTGTCCAGTCAAGATAAGGATTGTTTGGGAGGCTCCTTACCTATTATTTTTTAATTTGATATCCATTCTTAAACTCTATGTCTTTTTTTAAAAAGTTCTTAAATGAAATATAATTGTATCTCTTTCCTTATTCTTCTCATCTCTTCAGGGCATCTCAGGTATCCTTCCTCCAGGCTTTTCCTACACTCACTTAATGTTGATAACCTCTTTGTCTTTGATTAATATTGTTTTATTTTGTAACACACACGTATATACATATTATGTATATGCATGTGTTACTGAGTCTCTCTATCATCAGTAAGATGGTTCTCAGACAAGGCTTCTTTAGGATCTCCTTAGTCACAAGATATGAGATACATATAAGACGACTTTCTTACCTGTGACAGAAAGGTACAATGGGTCACTTGGGGATGACCACACATGGGAAGAGTTCCTGAAAGAGCCATAGCATCTGTAGGTCTCTGCCTGGATCAAAGGAACAGGAAAGAAGTTGGCCTTGAATGTCCCATTGTGGCTCTGCTCTGTGGGCAGCCCATGTCCCTGAGGCACCCCTTTCATAGACAGATGGAACATGTCAAACTGAACGTCAGAGATGCAGGACAAGGTCATGTTCTCTTCTGATGTCACCACAGGTCTCATCAGAGCAGAGAGCGAAGGTTTCTTGTATAAACCTGGAAGAAAGGAGGTAGAGACAGTGGAGGAGCAGGTCCTTACCAGTGTTCAGTCACTCCTCAGTGTTCTCTCTCCCTGCTTCCATTTCTATGATCTCTCTCTACCCACATTTATCTCTGTCTTTTCTACCTCCCTTTGTCTTTCCATCTCCTTCTTTTCTTCTAAATTACCTTACTGAGTCTCTGACTTCAATCCTATACCCATATATTTTATTTCAGTTCTCACTTTTGGACAGTTACTGCCTCTATATGAATTAGTTCATACCATTTTTCTTTTTAAGGTTGCTTTTATAAACAGATATTTAGTTTATTTAGCAATTGGATTCATTATGAAACATTCAAATATATAATGCATTTTATATTATTTTCATTAAAAATTTGAAGTTAAACTATAATTACATCACTTTGTGACTTCTTTTTCTTTAAGTGTTGTTATATATGTTTTTTATGTAATCTTGATCATATTTATGCTATCATTCCTTCTTCTCCATCAATCTCCACTGATTTCATTCCTCTTCCCAATTATTCTTCTTTACACTTTCAGTTTTACCAAAAGTTTTGTTATTCAATGGGTTAATTAGAGTTACTTATTATTTTGTCTTAATTAAGATATAAAGCAATGAAGTCCATTAAGACATTCTCAAACTGTTCATTTTCTTCCCAATACCTTCATTTAACCCACCTTTGCTGCTCCTTCCTTCTCGTTTCACCTTCCATGTTGTATGTATTTCTCATCTTTTCTGTCCCACTTTGTTAATCTTCTTCTTCTTACGATTTGTTCCCAATTTCGTGACTTATAACTTTCTCACCTTATGTATATTAAAAATGTAGACTCTGACTTCAATCTAAGTAATTATTTTTATATCTTGTCCCTTTCCCCATATCTGTGTTAATGAATCTCTCTTTTCAAAGGACAAAATATTCCATGAAAGTGTTTGTTTCCTTGAAGAGGGGTCACGATGATCTTCCCTCCCTCATTTTTCATAGTGTGTTTACTGCTTAAGTGTAATCTACCATCTGACCCTCTTCCTGTTTTAAAATATCCAATATTTGCCATTATTTCTCTATTTCTTAAATCCTCCATTCAAGCTTAAGACATTTTGCAGGTTTTCTCTTCCCACACATACCTTGTTTCCATTTCCTCAGTGTCTGAATCTTTCTCTCAGTCTCCCTGTTTGTATATATTTCCATGTCTCTGTTTTATTTTCATATGTGTATCCCAGGGGGACACACTATAGAACAGACGGCAACTGGTGGTCTACTCAATTACCTAGGCTTATGCTATTCTTTGATGAATGATTAGTCAAATACAAGAATGGAAGAAAACCAGACTAGACAGAAAATTTATGGGTGCCCTCTGTACCAAGACCACAGGACCTATGAAGAAGCAACCCCACTTAGCACATAAACACAGGTCAGACTTATATGTCTAGGTCTTCTGACATATATCTTTTAGAGGAAGAAGCCAAACAAAATTCTGAACTTCTAAGTCTTTAAACATTAGTAGAAGGATGTCAATATCTCTGATACATGTCAGTCTCACCAAGCTGCCCCTTTCTCTTTATTTCTAGGTTCGATTCCTTTGACATCCCCATATCTGTGCCTTATGCTATAACCAATGGTTTGTTCTTGTATCTCTGTTTTCATCGTCTATGTCAGTAATATTCTCTCCAAGTCTGCCATTCTCTAAGTTTCTTACAATCCCCTTCTAGGACATGTTGTCTATAGAATAACTGCTCTACAATACAGAGAAGCTGGTGACCAGGTAACACCCTCTTACCTGTGATCTTTATGTCAACAGGGTCACTGGATTCAGACCATTCATACGGTGTTTGTTTGTAAGAACCATAGCATGTGTAAGTCCCAGCATGGTCAGGTGTCACAGGACCTATTGGGAAGTTGGCACGGGATCCCCCAATATGAGTTTCTGCAGAGAGCTGGAAAGAGTCCTTGCTTATTCCCATTCTATGTAACATCAAAATGAAAGTGTCAAACATAATCTCTGAGTGACACTGCAATGTCACCTTCTCTTTTGATTTTACCAGAGGAGTTGGTAGGGCCAGGAGGAAAGGTTTCCTGTAGATTCCTAGGAATAAATAAATTGTGAGTATGAATCTGCTAATCAATCTATGTATCCCAGAATTCCTATGCTATTTCCCCCTTAATCTGTTCTTTTCATCAGTGTCCCAGTGTCCTTTTCTTTTTTTGATGTCAGCTCGTACACAGACTCCTCCATCTTTCTATGTCCATTTCCCACTTATTTGACCTTTATAACGTTGAGATTCTGACTAGAACTTGTTTTAAAAATTCTAATGTGGGGATGTTTGGCAGAATGAAAGGACACAGCAAACATGATCTCTTACCTGAAATTATGATCTTCAGAGGGTCACTGTGTGATGAGAAATCATTAGGGTACTGATGTTTATAACTATAGCATCTGTAGGTTCCTCCAAATGCTGGGGTCACAGGTCCCAAGAGAAGACTCTTCCGGAATATTTTCTTATAGACCTGAGTGATAGGATCCCCATGCTCTTTGTACAGCTTGACTATGTTAAACTCACTGTGAGTATCACAAGTGAAGGTCACATTCTGTCCCTGAGGAACAATATGACTTGGCCAGGCAGACAGTGAAGGTTTGTTACTAATTCCTGTAGAAAGATACACAGAGTAAAATATTTAGTGATCTGCCTTCATTTCTGAGATCAGAGTCTCCAAATTTTACTTCTTCAGGGTCCATTGTTTGACCCTTTTCTCTGAACTGAAACATCTCTGTTTCAGTGTTAGAAATTTAAAGGCTCAGGGGACTCAAGAGGTACACAAACATTAATGTATTGGAGAGCTGAAATTTGCAAGATTTACCAGTGTCTCTTCCCGCTCTATAGATATTGTAAGTTACTTTTCTTCTGAATTCTAAAAGGAGATATCCAAGACCCATTCAGTTGCCAGCAAGTTGTGCAGGGAGCTCCATGGTTTTGGCTTTCATGATAATCTCCCATATAGGTGTGCTTTCAGTAATGCTTTTGTGTCATCCCTTGTTTCTGCAAATAAACCCTAAGCATACTGCTATTAGTAATCTCAGTAGACGCACAGGTTCAAAGGTTTGAACATTGATGCAATCATTGTTTGGTCGATCCTGGGTTTCTTTTATGGGGTGATCAGAATTGCATGTGTTTTCTCTTCCCAAGGACAGTCTTAAATAAAACAGTGTCATTTCATATCATGTGTGTCACCCAACTACCATGTACATATGGAATATCTTTCTATGTTAAGATATGTTAATTGAGAATTTTGAATAAATATTAAATAATGAAGTAGATTTGTTTGTGAAAAAAGTAATCTATGAGGAAATTATATCAGAGAATTTGAGGAAAATATTCATTTATGAAAAGACAGATTGGGATTATAGCCAACAAGTTATAAAAAAGGAATGCTTTTGACTCACCTTCATAGACTCTAGAAATTTAACAATACTGGATTAGAAATATATTGTGAATGTTCCATATCTCAGCAGTGAGGGAAGTCAGCCCCTAGGACCACAGAACTGAGAAAATTAACAACAAAACAGTAGGGATGAGTACTTTGTACTACTCTGTCCCTTATGTGCTCTTGTCCACAACTTCATTCACAGAGGTCACATCAGCTCATGTTTCTACACTGACAGACATAAAGTTTCTCCACCATTTCAAGGCTCTTGCATGTGGAACACTGAGAGAATAGCACTGTTCTGCCTCTTTGGTAACTTGGTGACTAAAAAGTATTTGGACTTATGATTGCCAGCCCATGAATCTTGGTCATTCTTCTGTATCCACATGGGAGATGTTTCTGAGGAAAGAGGCAGTAGACCATATAGACTCCAGCCTGTGTGGACATCTTGAAACACTGCTCAGGCAGAGGCTTTCAAGTACCCCAGTGCAAAACTGTACCTGATTGTGATAAGTGGCCAGTAATTTACTGTACCAGGAAGCCCAACTCCCAAAAATATCTGATCTCCAAACAGAGAGGCAAGTTAGTGAAATATAGGAACCTGACATCAGTGCCATCCTGTCCAGGGTTGCAACCAATTTACCCAATCCATTCTCAGGTTAGAATTAATAGTAAAGGTCTTTTAACATCCACAGAACATCTGCATGTGACAGAGGTGATGGTTCTCTTCAATATGGAGGTGTCTGTGAATGAACTTGCCCAGGAAAATCAGAGAAGTCAAACACGCCAGAGAACAATACTGAGGCTCTGGTAGTAAATGCATAGGAAAGGAAGATCTATGAAGCCCACAACAGATAATTCACTGCAGTGTTTCTAAAACAGTGACAGAATTATAAGATACGATGAATAAAGTTTTGGTTCTAGGTACATGACATAAGAGAGAAAATGCGGCATTTTTTATGGTCTGTGTAACCTCACTTAGTGAAATACTTTGTAAGTCCATTTATTTGTCTGAAAATTTCATGGTTTCATTGTTACTTACCAATAAATAGCATTACAGTGTGTGCATGTGACACATTTTTATTAGCTGTTCATTATTTGAAATACATCTAGATAGTTTCCTTGTCTTAGTTCTTCAGAATAGAATGGCAAGAAACATGACTGGGGAAGTACCCAGGGCATAGGGTATCAAGTATTTTGGTTGTATTCAAATGGGTAGAAATGATGCAAATACACTACTCATGTATGAAAGTCTCAAGAAATTAATGAAAAGAACAATCTTTTATAAAACAAAAGGTGGTATCTAGCTATAAAAAGTAAACTCTGATTAAAATGTTTTATAAAATTTGGAAGCAAATCATTGAACTTCATAAAAAGTTTGGCAACATCCCTCTTAAGCAAAATATTCAACTACTGAATTGGACAAACTTGTTGCTCAGCTTGATGTCTAAGGAGGTAAAGCTGTTGCTGCCATGCTTGACTTTCTGGATTCCTCCACTGGGATCCATGTGGTGAAAAGAGAAAACTGATTCCAGAAGTTTTCCTTGACTTTCCTACTTGTGTCTTAACAAATGTACACCCAACACACACACACACACACACACACACACACACACACACAAAACCAACAAACAAACATAAACACACTAAAACACACAAAAACATGAGTATATGTGCACATGGGTATACCTCAAATAATGGCAAAAATTTACAAATTTAATAGATTGTTTCAATAGTACATATGATAAAACAGGAGAATGAATGTGCTTAGATCAGGCAATATATAATCTGATGGGTAAATGCAGAAATGAATGAAAATTAAATAAATAAAAATGTCAGGAAATTTTTGCATGCATCCCAATAGCAAATTATCAGTCATAAAAGTTCAAGAAAGACTAAAGGAACAAAGAGTTTCCCTTTGCTGTCTAGTGTAGTGGAACTAGGATGATCTTACACGTGACGATGCATATAATTAAAATACACTGTATTAAATTATCAAAGAATTAACAAAAGGCAAGAAAAACAGCTAATAAAAATAAACAAAAAATGTAGAGTAGAAAGAATAGAAAACACTTGAACTTGGAGTAAAATGATAATATCAGGTCCAAGAAGGTCAAATGACACAAAAGAAATCCAACCCAAATAGCATGATCACAGAACATATTATTATCATAAGAGATCCTGAAATCAAAGCAATAAGAGAAGCAAAGAACATATAAGGGACTTCTAATTACAGCTAATGGAAGACCTACAGGCTGCAAGAGGTCAGGTTGATGTATTCAATGAAGTGAGTGAAAAAAGAGAAACCCTGCCTAAAAATGTCAGTAACACTGTCTTTCAGAAATCAAGATAATGAATTTCTCAGAAAAACAGTAGCAGACAAGAGTTCATCATTATAAGGACAGGAAATGCTGTGAAGATCTTCAAGCAGAAAAAAAGGCTGGTAGCAAGTGACCTGACATCTCATGTGGAGAAAGTAACAGTAACTCACTAAAGCAAGAAAAAATGAGATGTTGCAACAGTGTCCTGGTGATACACAAATTTTATCTGTAGCAAAGTTGTTTGAACACAAAAATAACTTCAATGGTTTGTCAAATGACACACATATTTAAAAAGTAATAAATGATAGCATTATAATATCAAAAATAAATGGGGATGGTCAGGTGAGAATGTAGAAAGGGGAAGACTATTTTTTATTTAAAAGTTTTGATTATTCTTCAGGTGTTATGCTCCACTCTTTTAATATTTTTTTTTTTTTAGGCCAGGGTTTGTTTGTAGCTTTCAAGCCTGTCCTGGAACTAGCTCTTGTAGATCAGGCTGGCCTCTAACTCACAAAGATCTGCCTGCCTTTGCCTCCCGAGTACTGGAATTAAAGGCGTGTGCCACCACTGCCCAGGTCTGTCCATTCTTTTAATCCCAGCACTTGGGTGACAGAGACAGGTGAATATCTGAGTTCATTGACAGCCTGGTCTACAAAGTGAGTTCTAGGATAGATAGTAAGAGCTACATAGAGAAACCCTGTCTTAAAAAAACCCAAAAATGTTTGTCTGATCAAAATTGATGCCTAACTGAGCCAGGGCCAGTGTCTGGTACAATCTGGGACAGGACTGAGAGGTGTGTTTTCAAGGTCCTAAGTTCACAGTTCAGAAGACTAGCCAAAGAGTAACTCACAGATTCCACCAGAGAACACACTGTGATGCCTACTGTCCTGTTAGAATGAAACTTCTCTATTGGCATGGGTAGTAGTATCTCAAGGCTAAGGCTGGACTCACCTGCTTGTGCCAAAGTTCTCAGGAGTAGGATGAAGCCTGGAAAGAAAAGGTCATGATGGATGATCTATCTCCTTCCAACAGCCTAGTGATCTGATACCCCAGTCCCTGTTGGATCTCTGTACAGTAGAGTCAGAGCTCACTTCATTATGATGAACTCATGCACCAGTATCAACCATGGAAGCCAGTGTTTCTTCTGTGGGAAGATACAGCCTCCCATGACGATATTTCCACCCTTTTATTCCACACCCTTCATTCCCAGAAGGACTCACCAGTACACACAAGATTTAGGTGCAGAGACAGCATGGTGCTGCTTCAGTTAACAAGAGGCAAAGCCAGAATAAAACGTACAGGATGTTGTAGGAGGCTCGATGCATCTACCTGACCACATCACGGAAAGCTGAGCAAGAGAGCATATCCGCCAAAGACAGTTTCTCTGTAGCCATTGATGTCCAGAAACACACTTTGGGGGCAGGTTGACTTTGAATTCAAAGGGCTACCTTCTAGTGCTTCGATTAAAAGTGGGTGTCTTCGTTCGAGGGTTCATACATGTTTCCCCTTTTATGGTGCTTTATGATTATTTTTCTAAAGGTTTGCATGTTTTGCTTTTTTTTCATGTTTTGCTTTTTAAATCTGAGACTCAGTGCCTCCTTTGGTGTTCTGTGCAACATGTTCAATGTCTATTCATGGTATAACACAATCCTAATGTGTCAATCAAAATGATTACTCTGCTAAAATTCCATTGTCAGGTTTCAATTATTCAATTTCTTTGCTTATTAGTTGTACATTTATTTAGAATAAAAATATTCTACTTATTCTATAAAATCAAAGGAACAAAGAAAATAAAGTTTTCTTTCAACTGAAATTTGTTTTAAGAACTAACATTCATATTTTTTAAATACAAGGGGACTGATCTAATGAGAGTTCACCAAGGCCAGTTGGACTGGGACTGAACGAGGACGTGATCCAACCAGATTCTCTGAATGTGGCTGGCCTGAAGTCTTTCTGAAAAGCCATTGACAATGACACTGGGACTTGTTTCTTCTGCATATACTGGATTTTGGGGATCCAGTCTGTTTGGATACTCACCTTCCTGGACCAGGAGGGAGGGGGGAGGAACTTGAACTTCCCACAGGGCAGGAACTCAAGAAACTAGACACTAAAATCTAATTAACCCAATTAAAAAATGGGGTACTGAACTGAACAGAGAATTCACAACAGATGAACTTCGAATGGCCAAAAGGCCCTTAAGGTCATGCTCAACCTCCTTAGCGATCAGGGAAATGCAAATCAAAACAACTTTGAGATATCATCTTACACCTGTCAGAATAACCAAACTCAAAAACACCATTGATAGCCTATGCTGGAGAGGATGTGGAATGAGGGAAACACTCATCCATTGTTGGTGGGAATGCAAACTTGTGCAGCCACTGTGGAAATCAGTGTGGCGGTTTCTCAGGAAACTGGGAGTCAACCTCCCTCAGGACCCAGCAATTCCACTCTTGGGAATATACCCAAGAGATGCCCTAACATACTTCAAAAGCATTTGTTCAACTATGTTCATAGCAGCACTATTTGTAATAGCCAGAACCTGGAAACAACCTAGGTGCCCCTCAATAGAAGAATGGTTAAAAAAGGTGTGGAACATATACACATTAGAGTTTTACTCAGTGATAAAAACAATGTCATCCAATTCTTTAAGGGAGTTATTCATATCCTGTTTAAGGGACTCTATTGCTTTCATAATGGCACTTTTTCCCACTTCTTCTGGATTAAGAGATTCAAATCCTTCTATTGTAGGGTCGTTGGGATCTGGAGTTTTCATGCTGTTTTTCAGATTGTTGGAGGAGTTCTTCCCTTGGCGTCTGCTCATCTCTTCTTTCAAATGCTCTCTATTGGATCTTCTGATACTGGGTCATGTTCCCTTGTTGGGCAGGGTCTTCACTGACAGAAGGCCTACCTTTCCTCAGGCAGGCTATTGAAACACCGGCACTCCCTCCTGCCGGGTTGCACTCACAGCCCGGCCCAGTGCTCAAGGCAACTGAGCTGGGGAAATCCCCTCCTCCAATGGATGTCTGCTAGAAGATCACTGCCCCTTGCTGGCCAGGAATGTGGCTGAGCTGAAACATCAATATTCTTATATTGTATTTCTAGAACAATCTCTCAGAGGACAAGAAACCACTACAAGACACTGCAAAGAAATGGGAACATTTGAAATGGAACTGACTACTGGCCACACAAAATCTGGCAATGTACCATGCATTTATAGTATTTATTATCTGCCATATTTTATTACATTGCTAGACTTTTCTTCTTATTTATTACTTTCCATTTCTTTTTGTTTTTCCGAGACAAGGTTTCTTTGTGTAACAGTTCTCACTGTCCTGGAACTAGCTCTTGTAGAGAGGCTGGCCTTGAAATCACAGAGATCTGTCTGTCTCTGCCTCTTGAGTGCTGGGATTAAAGGCCTGTGCCACCACTGTCTGGCTTTTACTCTATATTTCTAAAATTAAAATTCTAATATTTTTTCAAATGAATTACAATTATATCATTCCTTATCCCTTACTGCTACCAATCTCTGTTATATAGCTCTTTGTTCTCTCAATTCACCTTTATCTTTAATTATCTTTATATATTTCTCTACCTCCACACATAGACAGACACATACACACATACATTTATATTCCTTAAATATATAAACACAATCTGATAACCTGTTTGATGTTATTTATATGTATGCAATTTTAGGGCTGAATACATTTCTATGAGATGCAATCTCACAGCAAACTTTCTGCTCCTCTGGATTGACAATATTTCTTACCACGTTTGCATGATGTTCCCTGGGCCTTGGGTGCAGGAAGTTTTAGAGAGATCAACTAAAGCTGGGGAGGACACAATCACCTGTTGAGCATATTTTTAATGGTTTCTGTTCTTGTAGGGGTGATTGTCTGAAGCTAATAGAAATTTTACTTTTGATGATGTATAAGAACTATATTTATCTCTGTGTGCAAGAATAAATATATATTTATTTTAAAATTAGGGGATATGCATATTTAGTAAAATTGTAGTTATATAGTTCTTTAAGATGACTAGCAACACTAGCCCTGGATAGTTGATTAGGTTTTCAGAACTAGGCAATATTTCTTTGTATTTGAGATGACCTTCAGTCCAATTAGATAGCTATTATCTACCATTAAGATATACGTGTCCCTACTGGACCTTTAGAGTTATTGTGCCATGCTGGTCATGGAGAGACTAAACAAGACTTCAACCCTTCATCTTCAGAAATGCTGAAGCATCAGCAAAAGCTTCCTGGTAATGCTACTAGAAGATAAATGGTCAATGTGTCCACAAGACTAGTTTGAAAAATCATTGCTTGTGTATTGGAGAGATGGGTCAGTGACTAAAAGGCCTGACATGTAAGTCTACCGACACAGGATCCAACTGAAGAAGCTATTCAAAGCTGTAGGACAAGTTCTGACTTCACAAAGTGGTCCACTGACCTCCACACATGTTGTAGAAAGCACCCACATTTATCTTATCCTTCCTATTTTGAGGTGAGTATAGATGTGGAAAGTGGACATTTTAAACTAAAGAGCACACTAGCAGAAATACCAAGATAACACTGACATTTCCAATTGCCTAAAATTTTTAGAAATGAGTGCCACCACTTTATGTAGCTATACTAACCACTCTAGAGAATATGCCTGAAGGACTTTTAGTCATAGCACACCATGGATATAGTTGCATACTCATGGTTATTGATTCACTATGTAATCACAACTGCTGTGAATTTATTTTTGTTATAGCCACGTCATTAGAGACCAACCTCTCACAGCACTCCTTCCCATCTTTTAGCTCTTATGTTCTTTTCACTGGTCCTCTTTCGTGATGTTACCTAATTCTTGGAAGGGGTTGATTTTGTTCTTGGAAGATCTCAGATCACAGCTTCCCCTGATCCTGCTGGTTTTCTTTCTTCTCCTAGTTGTATATAGGTTGTGCTTTCCTATTATGTGAATTCTGTTAGCCACCATTCTTTATTCTCCGCCCTACTTATGCTCCCTTCCTCTCTATATCACACCCATCTATAAGTTTCAGGGACCATTATAAAAGATAAGGCATTGATTTTCTTTGTCATTTTTATATACATAGTATGACACATATGCATAAATACATCATAAAACTCTATACTGTGTTAGTTAACTTAAAAATTTAATGAGCTTTAAGCTAATACAGGTAGCTTATTTCTAGATCCCATATTCTTGGAATAAATGACATGTAATTTATATTATGTTTTGATGTCATTATACTTTTTTTTGTACTGGGAATTGTATTATACTAGGAAACTTCCCTCAAAGTGTAGTGTTTTCATTGTGCTTCAGATAAACTGCTTGGGATTAGACTGAAGAAGCTTGTAACATTCAGGCTAACTAAGTCATACAGAGCTGTGTTTCCTCATTGCCTCTTGAGTTTTGTTCCTCTTCCATTCATAGCATTTGCATGGATTCCCACAGTTGGCAACCAGTATGAAGAGCCAAGTTCTCAGAGAAGGGTAGAAAATTTTTCTTTAAATGGGAATTAAGGGTTCATGACACCCTGACCACTCATAGAAGTGTTCATCACCATAAGTGAGAGAGGAATTAACATGGGCTTAATCACTAGTATAGGTCGAATCATTTTGCACAATTATCAGATGTTTGCTAAGATCCAAAGTAAAAATAACAAAATATTCAGAACAACAGCTCTGTAACTTTATTCACAAAGGAACTTGTGTGTTGAGAGTTTGTAAAGGGGAAACAAAATTCCTGTTAGTTATTTTGAAAGCCAGAGTACAGTAAGATTTGTTTGAAACCTCTCAGGTAGAATAGATGCAAAATAAATTGAAGAGAGAAAGAGACAGAGACAGAGAGAGACAGAGAGAGAGAGAGAGAGAGAGAGAGAGAGAGAGAGAGAGAGAGAGAGAGAGAGGAGGTTTATCTGCTGGACAGATCTTGTCAGGTCTCAGTAGGGTAAACCAAATGGGCTCTACAGTTCCTGAGACTCCAGGACTGCCATATCCATTCAGGGATCACCTTCCCAAACAATAAGAGTGGAACTATATTATCCAGTGAAAGCACTCTTGATTATGTGCCTGAAGGACTGTAAGTTGACAAACCCTGGATACAGTGACATATTTATTTTTATTGATTCACCAGGAGCTAATCACTGTTTCTGTGACTTTATGTGTTCAATAGCCATGACATGTACAGTGGCTAGCCACTCACAGCACACTTCTTCATTCTCTGGCTCTTAGGTTCTTTTCATTGCCTCTTCTTTAGTACTGTTTCTTGAGACCTACAAGGGGCTGCTGTAGATCGCTATGATGCAGTTTGTGGGAGAAGTTAGGTAAATGAGCAACGGATTGAGCCCCCCGAGGTCCGGAGGGGGAGCGGAAGGAGGAGGAACATGAAAGACGAAATCAGTACTGCCAGGGATGCTATCACCCACTGATACAAGGGAACGGATCTGATGAGAATTTACCAGGGCCAGTTGGACTGGGACTGAACGAGGACGTGATCTAGCCAGATTCTCGGAATTTGGCCGGATTCTCTGACTGTGGCTGGCCCGGGGTCTTTCTGAAAAGCCATTGACTATGACACTGGGACCTGTTTCCTCTGCATATGCTGGATTTTGGGGATCCAGTCTGTTTGGACGCTGGCCTTCCTGGACTTGGAGGGAGGGGGAGGGAGCTGGAGCTTCCCACAGGGCAGGAAACCCTGACTGCCCTGGGGGACGGAGGGGAAGGAGGGGGGGAGTGGGGGGAGTGGGAGGGTGTTGGGAGGGGGGGCGGAAATGGAAACTTTTATAATTTAATAAAATTTACTAAAAAAAAAGAATATGATCAAAATATATTGTATGAATGTATGAAAAATGCAATTTACTGGCAAATGCATGGAACTTGAAAAGATAATCCACTCTGATTGAGATAACCCAGACCCAGGAAGAATAACATGGTATATATTCACTTATAAGTGTATATTAGCCATAAAGTAAAGGATAACCATGCTGTAATTTACAGACCCCAAGAAGCTAAGTATGAGGAGGGTTCTGGGTCAGGGGACACATGATTCTTTCTGGGAATGGAGAATTGAATAAATTATAGGTAGTTGTGGGGTGGGGTCTAGATGGGAAAATGAGCATGGGAAGAGGAACGATCAGGTGGAGGCTGGATGGAGAGAGAACTGGGAAAGATAAATGGGATCAGAGGCATCTCTGGGATGAGCTTGAAATCTAGTGCAACTGAAAATCCTAAGTATCTATGAGTGTGACCTTAGTTAAGAATCCTAGTGTTAGAGGTCAGAGCCTGAACCATTCATGTCCTCCAAGCAGGTAAGACCGGTGAAGGGATTGAGGGCCAAACCAGCACATAACCTTTCACCTAAAATTTGCTCTACTTATGAGTTATGGTGGAGGAATGTTGGAATGAAATGTGGGAGTGACCAACCAACAACTGATCCAGCTGGAGACCCATACCATGAGAGGGAGTCCATCCCTAACACTGCCTGGAGGGCCAGACCCAGAGGCTGGACAGTCCAGAGATTTAGGATAGAACCAAACATGACTGGCATAAATTGTCAATTAAATGATTACTAATGATATTCTGCTATATTTATAAATTGTTGCTTAGCTTAATTATCACCAGAGAGGCTTCACTCAGCAACAGATGGAAACAGATGAAGAGACCTACATCCAAACCTTAGGGGACGCTCAGGGAAGCCTGTGGAAGAGAGGGAGAAAGGATTGTGAGAGCCAGAGGAGTCAAGGAAATCACCAGAAAATCACAGAATCAACTAACCTGGGATCAGAAGGGCTCAGAGACTGAACCGACAATCTGTGAACTTGCATTTGACTGGCCTAGGCCCTCTCCATGTGCTACAGTTGTATAGCTTGGTCTTGTAGGTCTCATAAGGCTCTCTCTGACTGTATTAACTCATTTTGGGGACCCTTCCCTCATACTGAGTTGCCTTGTCCAGTCTCAATCGAAGAGGAGGTGCCAGTTCTTATTGCAACTTGATATACTATGGCTGGTTATGTTCATGGGAGACCTGCCATTTCCTGATGAGAAAGGAGGATGAGTGGAAAGGGGATGGGAGCTGAAAAGAGGGAAGAGGAGGAGAGGAGGAATGGAGAGGAAACAGTAATTGGACTACAAAACATTAATTAATTAATTTTAAAAAATAAAGAGAAAACAAAATTTCCTCAAATAAAAAACTTACCTTAAGGAGGTCTCTTTATTTATTTTCTTCTCTCTCTCTCTCTCTCTCTCTCTCTCTCTCTCTCTCTCTCTCACACACACACACACACACACACACACATACACACACACACAAACTATTATTCATATGTATACAGATGTCATAATGAAATTCAATACTGTGCATGCTTACCTAAAAAGATAATTAAAATGAAAAAGTAAAAATGTAATTTTATGTCTAGTTTACACACATAAAATGTGAAGTATTTACCTGTCAGAATCTGTCTTATTTTGCTAAACATGATTTCCAGGTGCATTCACTTTCATGCTTTTGATTTTTTTTACTGCCTAAAACTTTCAAGTCACATGGCACTCAAAAAACCTCTCTGCTGCATTATTGAAAGGAATTTAGATTAAAGATTCTTAAAATAAAATTCCATCTTCTGAATTCTCACAGACCCTGTACCTTTACCTCTTGGGAGGATAAAGTAAGACTACCCCAAGTTGAGGGTACTTAGCAAGTTCCAGTTTCAAATCAACAATCAGACAGAGGGACACACAAACAAAGATGTATTTTACAATACCAGCATAAAAATGCAAAAGATTATAGAGGGATCATGTTCTAGCTGATTATTTTTCACTTCACACAAGTTATTTGGGAAGTGGAACTCTCATTAGAGAAAATGCATCCACATGATTAGTCTACAGGCAAGTCTGCTGGGCGTTTCCTTGATTCATGGTTGAAGTGAGACGTCTTAGACCACTTCGGTGGTGCCACTGCTTCGCAGGTCACCTGAAGATGTATAAGAATGTAGGCTGAGCAAGGCATGAGGAATGATCCAGTATGTGGTGAACTTTGTTCCATCTGCTTCAGTTGCTGCCTCCAGGTTCCTTGCCTTGGCTTCACTGAATGGATTGTGATCTGGGGTGTGTAAGATATGTAATCCAAATAGATACTTTGCACCAATTAGCTTTTGGTCATGGGTTTAACCCAGCAAGAGAAACCATATCTAAAATTGCTACTGTGTACATAGATTGCGTGACTCTTTATTGTGAGATGTTAGCAAACATTTGCTGGTCCCAGATAGGGCACTGATGACAGATCCAATTAATGATACACCCAGGACTATTTAACTGAACTTATGAGTTTATTAGGATTGGTTATGGGATCATGGTTCTACGGGCAAGCATGTTTGTTTAGAGATTCAACACTCTGACAATTACTACATTCTAATAATGCAGGGGCTTTTATTCATATCCCGACACCAGGCATACATCTAGAATTCCAAACAGCAGCTTCGAGACACCCCAGTCAGGTGATTTTAAAGGCAAGGATCTAAAGTTGTATTCTGTCTAGAAGAAAGCAGAAGGTCATCTGGTACAAAGCAAGGTTTCATTTGTAGAAACTGAAAGAGCAGTTTTGTTAAAGTTGTACAAGACCAGTCAACTACAAAAAGAACCATTAGCAGGCTTTAACATCTCAAGTCCGATTTTGACTTACAGTTCTCTTAAGCACAGAAATTTTAAACTTTTAAAAGTAAAGTTAGCCATCCATGTGACATTAGCCATGCCACTGTATGAGGAGATAATAATGGGAGCATGGGTGACTCAAAAGTGTCTGTACCTCCACACGCTTGTGAAGAAATGGGTGATGCCATAGGAAAGCTGTTCACCTGGTGCTCCCTCGCTGCCCTGCAGGTAGTTTGGTTAGCTGGACAGTCTTCTATGCTCTGATATTGCTATTACTCATAAAATCTTAGGGAAGACACATTTGAGTCTTGTATGTTTCAGGGTTTGATGATACTCGTAAGGTTTTGTTTACCTCCTGGGACTTAATGATTTTTCTTCCAAAAGACTTCAATTCAGAGGAACTAGCTTCTCAGGTGCATAGTAACAGATACTTGGCAGAACTAGATGGTGCCTTACTTCAATCATATTTTAGAAAGCTTTTCTCAATAGAGAAGTCTACATTGAAAGATTAAAGAAACACATGGAGTGAGTCTGTTGCTGATATGAAAGTGTGAGATACTAAAATGATTACAGCTTCACGTAGGTCTAGAATGTACAGCTATTTAGGTTTTACAGATTGACAAGAGTTAAAAGAAATAAATACCAATAGATTGAGGAAAAGTTTTTGATTTCTGTCTAAAGGAAAAGTGAGAGCCATATTTTTAAATGAAAGAAAGTCACATTCAGATGCAGACTGGATTAATGATGGATGATCCTGAGGTTAGAGACCTCTGTCATATGATTTCAGTTATTGTTTCATTGCATCTGTTTGTTTATGCTGCCAAAGGTGCTGTGGTCTCCACAGAAGAATTTTTCAGTACTTTCTTTGAGAACTCATGGGCTAAGATAGTCTTTGTTCTTAGATTATTGTTTCATAACTACTATGTACACACTGATCTCTTTGGAAAATTCCTGAGGCTGCTCGGTATTGGGTGTGGTCAATCGTTGCTTGAATGTCCACTGTTCCAATTCTGTGTATGTCACCTCCAGCATTTCTTTTCTTTCATGTTCCTAGAAAGAGGTAAATGTTAAGTGATGTTGTATGCACATATTCTAGGAAGTATGAGGGAATGTAGGACCTATCGTATATGGAACAGGGTAGGTTCATGAGGATCTATTTCTTTCATGTTCTTTTAACTTCATACCCTTGGTCATTGATGACTGTAGTTTTTGGGGGCAGAAGTAATTAAAGACACCTAAAAAGCACTTCTGCAAGCTCATTTCAAAAACTGATGTTTTAATGAGAGATATGGTAAAATCCAAGGTGACTCTTCTTCCCTAGAGCAGTCAGCTGTTCTACATCTCTATGTTCTAAGCCCCATCTTATCATTTGCTATGATACTCATTTCACTTTAGCTTTCTTTCTTTCATAGTACCTTCTCCTATATAACAGTCTGCTTTGATTGTGAATATACAGTGAAGAATTAGTCTCTAGTCTG